TGTCTTTGAAAGATTGATTATGAGTTTTGAGAATACCCTGTATATTATATTTAATAACATCATTTTGCACATTGCGACTCATAGATCACTTTAAAAACTGTCGCCTCTGACTTACAGAGTTCGGGAGGAATCGCGAATGATTAAGTATAGAACATAAAATAATGTTCATAATTGAACATAAATGATTCAGCATCATATATCTGATAAAAGATACTCCCGATATCATAGATGATATATGATAAAGTAATTCAATAGTTTTTTTGTATTTAACATGTAAAGTATTTGTAATTTATAATGATTAAATTTTATTTCAAAAAGTAAGTAGTTTATATATATATATATATATATATATATATATATATATTATATAATATTAAAGATATAAAAAAGCATTTTTACTCCCGGCTGTTGCCAAATGTACGGATGGCAAGAGGAGTATGAGTTTCACCGAGCTCGGATCGGTTCTTATAATTATTCTCGATACAATAACATAGTTCGGTGTCATCTTATTGCACATCATTTTTTATTAACCAAGCATGGCTTATATTCTTTATAAATTTTTTTTATAAATAAATAATTAAATCAATTTTGATAAAAAATGTATGAGTTTTAAAAGAGATCTTTTTTAAGCTACTTAATAAATAGATAATGAGTGAGATTAGGATATATATTTTTTGTGCAGAAATAAAAAAATATTAAAATATATTAACAGAAGAGAATCAAATAGGCTATATAAATCACATAGAGCTTATTATGAGCATTAATACCGTTATTTATGAAAATAGATAAAATATGAATCACAGACAAGAATTAAAGAATGCATAAAGAAAGTATCCGTTCTTTGTTTCCTTTATCGGAAAAAGTAAATAGTCAAAATTGCCACTATTCATAAAAGCAGATAAGTCCGGTAAAACTCACTGCGCATGCTCGAAAGAGAGGGAAAAGAAATGTCATTAAATTCATTTTTCCCTTTCTTTTCTGGTCTTTCTCGTTAAACCTAAGATAGTCGTGCTTTGTTAGAACCATTCCATAGGACATCCCCGAAAGGTTTAGTTTGAGATTTGGCTTCGTACAGTGAACATCGTGCACTATTCGCGTTAAAGTGTATCGACAGATTCGTTAATAAAACAGAATTTTTTCAAAGTTTTTAAAATTTTTTAAATTTTAATAATAACAACAATGGCTATGCTAATACACATGCCTACAGAAATAGTTTTCAAATTTTAGAATATAAAGATATCACCATTAAAGACATCGTAAACTTTAGCTCCACATCCAAGCAGTTCCGCCAATTAATTATTAATGACAAAAATCTATGGAGACAAAAGTTTATCCAGAGGTAAGTTTTTTATTTGTTATTTTATTTGTTATTTGAGTAGTTTATCACACATATGAGAAAAAATTTGACAAAAATCTGGCCAGAAACTAAAAATTATATCAAACCAAATAAATCGTTTCTTGAACTGTTTGAAACAAATACTTTGCATTTTGAATATTAATTTCCAAAAATGAAAATGTAATTCAAGAAATTTTAAAATTAATTTCTAATCAATATTTTCAAAAATTCGCATATTCGCAATGCTATCGCATTGTTTTAAGAATCGATTCTTTTGCGTCTCTAATAAAATCCTGTAAATTTTAAAAATTTTTAGCTAAAAACTATCAATGATGTAAAGTCTGTCTTTGTTTAAAAATTTTCTAAACATTTTCGAAAAAACTCTTCCAACGTTCTATAAAAAATATAGAATAATTTATTATATTATCAATAACTATTTCTTCCAAGATATAGGAATAACTATGACAGAGATGATTTTTCGAACAAGAATAAATCTAAAATATATAAATTTTTGTGGAATATTTTTATACGAAATTAATATATTTTAGCTAAATTAAAAGCAATAATATAAAATACTTCATGTTCTATTTCATCAGTTTTCATAGATGATCTGTACGTTAAATATATACAAAGAAATATATAATAAAATGAAAATATGTGTGTTACCGACAAATCATTCGGCCCGTATGTAAATTTCCTACAAAACTTTAATTTTATAGTTGATGATTTATCTTAGACCATAATTTTTGTTCAGGCCATTTGATATTTTAACTTTCTCATAGAAAAATATTAATTTTTTAAATATTATTTTATATGTTTTAACACATAATACATAAGTTGTACCATAAACACGACAGTGCGCAGCTTATATCACACAAAATAAATAGTGTTTTAAATCTTATCGTTTATGCCACACGAATTACTAATAATCGATGCGAAAAGTTTAAAATATTTGAGCGTACGCATAAATTTGTGGCAGATATATGTGCGAATGTATAAGAAATTCAAACTTTATATGTTATAATATAATATATAAACTGTTCGTCACATGCTGCCTTGTAAAAATAAACTGCGCATTTTGTAATTATTTAGTATAGTGTATATATTTTGTCACAAGAATGTTATCGATCATAAAATATCACTTTGTCAAATAATGAAACATTGTATAACACATGCTGAATTATGTATGTAGAGTAGGCGCCAAAGATGCCTTAACATATGAAATGGTCGCATTTGAGACTAATAATAACTTAATAATATCTAGTCATTATTAATCCCGAATGCGACCAATTTCATATGTTAAGGCATTATTGGCGCCTACTGTATTTGAAAAACGTGTCTCTCAAGAAGTTTTATATTAGATTTCATTTATCTTAAAGTCAATAGTCTGGCGTATCTTGCATCCATAGATATTTAGACATTATAAATCAAAATCCAGTTGGCATTCCAAATGAAGTTTACATATATTGTAATCTATAAAGATAATATTATTATTATATTATTATTGCTATAATTTGCTTAAAGATTATTCGCTCATATTTCCTATTTTTATTAATAATATTAAATGTATTCTTCAATTTGATTTAGATATTATGCGGCATTGTACAATTTTTGATATAATTTAAGAAAATTAGTTAAAATATTTCTGTTTAAATTTTAGATGGCCTTCTGTGAAAAAATGTTATAAGGAAGATGATAAAAATTTTTATGAAGCCGATATTACCGATGTGCAAACCGGTATGAAATGCGCAAAAGAATTGTGGGCCTATGTATCTCACATGTCAGAAAAGCATTATTACTATGTTAATAATCATAAATATGTAGATGAATTCTCTTCCTTATTCAGCCTACATAAAGATTACTCAAATGCGAATTGTATGCATTGTGCTATTTTGAAAGATGAATTTATTAGAAGCATTTATACACAATCTCCATGGTATGTGACTCGAGATATATATTAAAATATAATTAATATATATATATATATATATATATATATTAATTATATATATATATATATAAATATATATATATATATGTGTGTGTGTGTGTGTTTGTATTTATAAAATAAATTAATGTATTAATCATATACAATAAATTGTGAATATTTCAGGGAATGCGATTTAACACATAGATATTACAGTATGAAACTTTTTCGATGCTGGCTTAAAAAAAATTTTGAAAGAAATTGGAAAAAATTTATAAATAATCCTCATCAACAACAAATTTTAGAAAAAGTGCTCACTATAACATTACAATGGTGTTATCCAGAAAAATATATTTCTTTGTCCCATGTAAACAAACTGATTAAAGATATTATGCAAAATGTGTTAAAGCTTCTTAAAGCGAAAAGTCCCACTCATGAAATATTTTCGATATCATCTAAACAATTTTCCTTTTGGAAACATAATAATATTCATGAAAATTATTGGGGTGAATGTAGTGCAAGACAAATTAAATGCAGATTGAACGATATTATTTTAAATTTCGATCGCTATAACATAAATTATCCGTGGAAATTAGATCAAGTACGTATATGCGGACCCATACGCAGCATATTTTCTTATGTGATATTTTTTCTTATTACAAATTACCGGAAATACTATAATTATTTTTTATTAAATAAAATATATAAGTTTATTTTAAGTTATTTTAAGTTATTGTTTTGTTACTGATTAGAGAAAATCATTTTCAGGAATTACATAATAAAAAACTGTTATGGTGTATAATATATATCTGCGTGGCGAGAAGAATGGGTATACATATTGAATTAACAATGATGGACCATAGCAATATATTTTCTTCAGAAACTTGTTTGGCTTGGAAACCAAGGTAATATATGTACCTGATCTCGATTTTGAGATCACTTAATTTTCCTTTCATATACGCATATAATTATGTTTACATTCACACATGTACATAATGTAAGAAAAAGATGTATAATCTAATAGACTAAAGCATTAGAATAAATAATAATTTTTTTCGGTACTTTTACTTTTAAAAAATTGCTCTAAATAGATTAAAATAATTATCATTAAAAGATATAGTACTGATATCTATATATATCTGTATATACATCTATTTATATATATGTTTTTCTTTATTTTCGATATAGAGGTCCAGGAGAATATACAGAATATTTTAATATTAAGTCGATGTACAATCAACATATTTATCCGCAGCTTTCTTTTATAATTATATATCGATCACATCAAGTCGTGCCCAATCGGATGAAGACATCTATACCTATAAAACAAGTGAGTTATTAATTACTTGTATTACGATTTTTTATTTTAATAGGGTTTTAATTAAAAATCTTTGCTTTTTATTCATAAATATAATTGTTATTTAATATAAAATTGTATATTTGATGGAAAATACTCAGCGATTCTCCCTCTATAGTACATTTCAAGGAAATTGAAATCAATTAGTAGCTTTTAATACATATGTATTTAGAAAAATTGTAAATGTTCACATAATGTGCAACAATTGCTATCGATTATAGAATTTGGCAAAGAATCTTAAATTTTATATATATGTAATTGGAATTTTGTCATTACAAATGATTTTATAATTTATTTAAAATTTAATAACTAATTTTTTTTTTTAGATAATCTATGAACTAGGAAAAGTTTTTAAAAATTATATGCCGACAGATATTTCTTTTACTCTTCTCTCAGAAATGGATATAAATACTGATATGGTAGGTACTTTTTTTATGTTATTATAAATCACTTTGAAGATAGTTTATTATATGTATACATAAAGTACATTAATATATAATTACATTTGTTATAATTATAAATTATTAATTATCTATAATCAAAATCAAAACTACAAAATGTGATTTAAAATTTAATTAAAAAAAGAAACGTCAATTATATTCTAATTTTACAGTGTACATCTCTTCTTATTGAAAAGTGTTGCGAAAGAAGATCGGATAAAGTAAAATTCGCAATTGGAATGGTTGTTAGTTTTGAAGATAATTATGAAAGTAAAGCTGGTTACGTCGGTGTCATAATTGGATGGCATAACAAATATCAAACTGAATGGTTTTCTTTTCCTCCGTATCAATTAGAGTTCGAATGCGACATTGGGAATCACGTAGAACCGTATTATATCATTTTGATAGATAATGACATCATGTGTTACGTACCACAAAGTATGAATATCAAACGTTTCTTTCTGTTTATATATCATACAATATATATATATATATATATATATATATATATATATTTTTATTATGTATTATTTGTATAACGTATAAAAATATATGTTTTGTTTTAGGATTTATAACATCGATATGCCAGTCTCGGTGGATATATAATACAGAAATAGGGCGATATTTCTGTAAAATGACGGATACTCATTATATACCAAACCAAATGCTAGCAAAACATTACCCAAAAGATGCTGCGGTGATTTATAAAATATTTAATAATAGTTATAATTTATAATATTTTTAGGTAGTTTTAGATAGTAAATATATGCGATCATATAATCAAAATATTTTTTTATGTCATATTCTTTTTTGTTATAAAATAGTAATAGTAGTAGTCAGTCCCTACTGTAGTTTTTTTATTATAAACTATTATAAATATTATAATTATATTCCATTACTGAAATTTTTCCATACTGAAATTATAATTATGTATATTATGTATATTATGTATCTATGTATATTATCTAAATATATGTAATCTCTGTATATTATCTAAATTTATTGTTTTATTACAAATTAGAGTTAAAATTAAAGTTATTTTCATGAGTTACATTAGAGAAAATAGAATATAAAGGATGTTTTAATATTGAATGTATGATGAATTTAATCTGTATATTTATCATAAATAAATGTCAATCAATGGCCAATCCATTGAAGATGCGTACAACAGAAGTGAATAGTTATTTACACAATCACATTCATTATCATAAATTTTAAATTTTACTTTAAATTTTATTTTGAAATTATTTTTTATATTTTGGAAATGATGCAGGATAAGATTTTACAAAAGGAAAAAAGAGATAAAATTGTATATTTGATGAAAAACATATTTAGCTATGATTCCTGTATAATATATTTCAAGAACATTGAAATCGATTAATTTGCTTTTGATATTTAGCTTTAGAAAACTTGCGAATGTTCAGATAATGTGTAACAATTTCTACCAATTATAAAATTTGTTAAAAATACATTTGTAATGGGTATTTTATCATTACGGATAATTCTGTGATTTTTTTAGAATGCAATAATTAATTCCTTTGGATGATTTTATAATTTAGAATTTAATAACTAATAATTGATTTAGAATTTTTTCCATCTTATAAATATGTATATAAACTATAATATAAAGTATTTTTCATGCATTATTATAAAAATTATTTTAAAAATAGTTATAATGTATAGATAATAAATATATAATAATATTAATTATAATTATCTATAATTCAAATTATTACAAAAATCGATCAAAATTTAGTTAAGAAGAAAGACATCAATTATTTTCGAACATATATTCTTCTAACTGGAAAATATTAAAACAAGATCAATACAAAAATATTAAAACAAGATCAATACAAAAATTTACAATTAGAATGATTGCTAATCATAAACATGACTGAAATGAAAATAATCATGTTGATGTCATGTTGACGGATAATAGAGTGATCTTTTTCGAATTGAACTTTCGGTTTTCTTTTCCTCCTTGTATTTTGGATTTCAAACGTAATATGCGGGACTATTTACAACTATTTTACATTAATGAAAAGATTAATAGAAAATGACAGCATGCGTTATGTGTCACAAAATATAAGAATTGAGAATACGAGAATATTATGTATTAAATAAAATGCTAACGAGACATTATCAAAGAGATGCCGCAATTATTTTCGAGTTAATAACAACCATTTATAACATTTTAAAATGATTATTGTTTGATAATTTATACTATATTGAAATATTGATATCAAAAAGTAACATGCTCACAACAACCGGTTTTTCCAAGCAGACTTCCTGTGTGAATGCTGTTTATAATTATGTTATAGTTCGACATATAAATTTTTTGTAGTTACACTACAACTCTCTTTATATATTTGTATATATATATATATATATATATATATATATATATATAAGATAGAGTACAGAAAATTGCAGCAATATTGCGGCAACATTGCAATGCTATAGCAATGTGTTACAACAATATTAATAATATTGCTTCAATATTCTATGCTCTATGGGTAGATTCACTTCTAGAATTCTTTTCAAATACACGATTTTCAACAATTGCTTTTCTTTAACACCATTCCATATCTTCTATAACAAATTACAAGTCGGTCATAAAATAATGCATGTGCACGCGAAACAGTTTTATTATTAATATTAAATAAACAAAAGAGATTACCATATTACATTTTATTGACAAGATTTTACTATATTACATTTCGCGGAATCATTGAAGACACAACAGTACACGCGCGACGGAACTCGTAAATCATGATAAATGTTTGAATTTATTTTTCTAAAAAATATGATAAAAAGGATAGAGAGAAAGGAAAGAGGAGAGAGAGAGAGAGAGAGAGAGAGTGAGAGAGAAAACTGCAAAACGAAAAGCAGGGAAAGTGAAAAAGAAAGAGGACATGTTTAAGAAATGAAACAGTGGCCGTTAGACAAGAATCACTTTTCGTTGAAAAAGAAACAATAAAAAACATAAATCATAAAAGAATGAAAGGATTTAAGCAGTAGTTTGGAGGAAACGACATTTCGAGGAAACTCAGGTAAGAACTTCATGAATCGTAAATTTTCATAAAAGAAAACTCTGCTTGTAAGACTTTGACTTTGACTCTATGTTGTCAAGATCATCCTCCTGAGTAACATTTCAACGGTTTTAGCCGTCAATCGTTGTTTATTAAAAAGTTATAGACGAAAAAGGTTTTATGAATTTCACATATAATTTTCGGACACCTTATACAATAATAAATCTGGATTTTAATAAAAATAATTTTTATAGATACAACATACATTTTACACCACCTCTGAGTCAGTGCGAAACGAGGTCTATAATTGTACAGTTCCACATTGATTTGCAACTTTCCTCAAGCGAAGTCCACTCCGCATCACACATCTGTTATCTCCTTCACTTATGATTACCAGCGTAGGCGTGAGTGAGTTGACCTTTTTTTACGAAAAAAGTTGTAAACCTATGTGAAATCGTACAATAATAGACCTCGTTTCGCACTGACTCAGGAGTGGTGTGAGGTGTACCTCGCTTTGCGTGAAAAGTTGCAAACTTGTGTGGAATTGTACTCTTTAATAAACGACCGATGGCTAAAACCTTTGGAATGTTACTCAGGAGGATGACCTTGACAACATATGTTAAGATCAAAGTCATACCGATATAGATCAAATATGGATAAGCCTGCTAAAAAGGTACCAAAGGGTACCAAAGGATACCAAAGAGTACCTTTTTATGCAGGCTTATCCATATTTTATCTATATCTATTTTATCTATGTTTACCCAGAAGAGAATCAAATAGACTATGTAAATCATATAGAGTTTACTAGAAGCAAAAATACAGTTATTTTTGGACATAGATAAAATATGAATCACAGACATGATTTAAAGAATGCATAAAGAAAATATCCGTTCTTCGTTTCCTTTATCGGGAAAAGTAAATAATCGGTAAAAGTCAAAAATTATCAAGTATTCATAAAAGCAGATAAATCCAGTTTTATATAAAATTTTCAGTATTCTCTTAATATATTGAGAAGCTGACAAGAAAAGAAATAAAAAATTGTATCTTTTTTATTAATACTTTGATACTTATAATTGATATTGATAAATTGAAAATTGGAAGATAAGCGAGGATTGTCTTGAGGTTGTCTTCTCTCATCGTAATAATAACATAAAAAATTTCGAATTAGAGAAAACAACATGTAAAGCATTTGTAATTTATAATGATAAAATTTCATTTCAAAAATGTAAGAAGTTTTCATATAAATAATTAATATATTTATTTTTAATATTTCATATAATTAAAGATATAAAAAGCATTTTTACTCCTGACTGCTGCCAATCTATGATTGGCAAGAGGAGTATGCGTTTCACCAAGCTCGAGTCGGTTCTTATTGCTATTCTCGATAACAATAACATAGTTCGTCATCTTTTGCACATCAGTTTTTTACTAATCAAGCATGGTTTATATTCTTTATAAATTTTTTTTATAAATCTTCTTTATAAATAAAAGAATTATAATTAATTTTGATAAAGATTTAGTATGAGTTGTAAAATAGATCTTTTTTAAGCTACTTAATAAATAGATAAATGAGTGAGATTAGGATATACTTTTTGTGCAGAAATAAAAACAATATTAAAATTGTATATTTGATGCAAAATACTCAGTGATTCTCCCTCTATAGTACATTTCAAGGATATGGAAATCAATTAGTAGCTTTTAATACATATTTAACTTTAGAAAAATAGTGAATGTTCACATAATGTTCACAATAATGTGCAAGAATTGCTATTGATTATAAAATTTGACATAAATATCTTAAATTTTATATATTTGTTATTGGAATTTTGTCATTACAAATGATTTTATAATTTATTTAATATTTAATAATCAATCTTTTTTTAGTTAATCTATGAACGAGGAAAAGTTTTTAAAAATTCTATGCCGATAGATATTTCTTTCACCCTTCTCTCGGAAATAAATATGAATGAGGATATGTAAATATTTTTTCATATATATGTTATAATAAATCACTTTGAAGATAGTTTTATTATATACATAAAGCACATTAATATATAATCATATTCGTTATAATTAGAAATTATTAATTATCTATAATCAAAATCAAAACTACAAAATGCGATTTAAAATTTAGTTAAAAAAAGAAACGTCAATTATATTCTAATTTTTCAGTGTACATCTCTTCTTATTGAAAAGTGTTGCGAAAGAAGATCGGATAAAGTAAAATTCACAATTGGAATGGTTATTAGTTTTGAAGATAATTATGAAAGTAAAGCTAGTTACGGTGTCATAATTAGATGGCATAACAGATATCAAACTGAATTTTCTTGTCCACCGAATCAATTAGAGTTCAATTTTTATTTAACATTTATGTGACATTGAAAACCATTCACAACCGTATTATATCATATTGAAAGATAATAACATCATGTGTTACGTATCACAAAGTATGAATATCAAACATTTCTTTCTATTTATATATCATATAATATATATATTTTCATTATGTATTATTTGTATAACATATAAAAAATGTATGCCCTGTTTTAAGCTTTATAATCGAACAAGACTGACGAATAATAAAAAAGAATATGACATAAGAAAATATTTCGCTTATGTTCGCATACATCTACTATCTAAAACTATCTAAAAACATTATAAATCATTACTATTATTAAATGTTCTGTGAATAACTGCGGCATTTCTGGGTAACATTTCTCGCTAACATTTGATTTGGTACGTAATGGGTATTTTAATTTTACAGAGATTGGGCGATATTTCTGTAATTTTACTTCCTGTAATTTTAATTCCTGTAATTTTAGAAATATTGCTCAATCTCCGTAAAATTACAAGTACCAAACCACACGTACCAAACCAAATATTAGCCAAACACACGTACCAAACCAAATATTAGCGAAACAGTACCCAACAGATGCCGCGAAACATTTAATAATAATAATAACTTATAATATTTTTAGATAGTTTTAGACAGTAG